TGCAGATTCAGTAATCTCTGAAGGTCCCTTCCAGTTATAACATTCCCTAAAACTTGTCTCCCCTGGACTAGAGATTGGGAGTTCAGATGAACTGAATAATCAATATGTAAACTCTTGACTCAAAGGGTATCTGATGCCCTATGTTTGTTTTCTTAATAATATTTACAATATGGCTATTTCTAGCTATACTATGCCTTCATGGGAAACAACTGAAAACTGGATGTGAGGACTAGAGTTTCTGGCGATAGAGAAATCACCAGTTCTGAAATGTGACTTCTGACTATAGTAACAAATGCTAAGGCCATCAATCACTGTGTGTGTGTGTGTGTGTGTGTGTGTGTGTGTGTGTGTGTGTGTGGAGGGGGGCGGGTTGTGGAGAAGAGGCATAGGAAGCATAGAAAAATCATAAAAACTAATAATTCAGAAATAATGTTTTTGAACATTTGCATTTTCTTGTTCTGACGAATCAGTGACAAAATAGCACTTGTATAAATAACCAAGGCAAGGTTCATCCCTGATATTTCCAGGTTAGAAGGATGTGATAGATGTTAGCAAGCTACTATTAGAACAGAGTTGTCTTCTAGAGTGTAATTGGCTGGAGTGCATACTGAGAGGTAGGAGAAAAGCCATGGAAAGATTTTTCTATAGAAATCAGTAGTCAGAGGGAAATTTCCAAAAATATGTCTTTCTGTGCTCCCAACTATTTAGTATATACATGCACTTGTATGCATAACTCACTTCAATGTCTTCTTATGTCATCATTGCTCCTGGAATGTCTTTTTCCTCTTTTCCTTCTTTACCTATCTAATAACTACCCATGACTCAAGACATGTTCTGTAAAAATCTGGCCAATTTGTTCAAATCCTATCTTCTCCATGAAGTCTTTCCCACCTACTCAAGCCACATTTTCATTACTTAAATTTCAGTAACATTTCCAGTCAATTCCATTCAATTATTTGGTTGTTTCTTAATGGTTTCATTGGAGATAGTAAAACATTGTGACTAAAAGTATATATCCTGCATGACCTTAGACAATATATGTGACCTTTAAAAGCCTTTCATCTATTAAATGGAAATATAAATAGTCCCTTTCATAAGGTTATTTTGAAAGTTAAATGAAAATAATGTGTGCCAAGTGCTTTACCTAGCGTGTGGTAAGTGTTCAATAATTAGTGGTAGTAATGGATGGAGGTGGTGAGAGTAGCGATAATAGTAATAGTCATTGCCACCATCATTGGTCTCTTCAATTATATTGTATAACCTTTGAAGGCAAGGACTACATATCCTATCTGATTATTCTCTCATGTCCCCCTAATTTCCAAAATACTCAATTGGCTAATTTGATATTTGCTGATTGTATGTCCATCTCTATTCAATGTTAACTGCCTCAAAGAAATGAAATTACATCAAAAATAGAATTTTTCATTTTTTTTGCACCATGGAAACTGTTGGATGGTTTTTCTTAGTTTGCATGCATGAGTAGTTTGGATGGAAGCTGACAAAGTAATCATATGCAGCTAGACTATGAGAAGAATAGGAAACCTCTTAGTCATCCCAAGCTCCTGTGGTATGTGTGCTTGAAAAAAAACCCAGAAAACTACAAAACCCTGATGAATGAAATAAAAGAAGAATTAAATAAATGAAGAGATATTTCATGTCCATGGATAGGAAGACTCAATATTTTCAAGATGTCAGTTCTTCCTAACTTGACTTAATGCAATCCCAATCAAAGTCCAAGCAAGTTATTTTGTGGTTATCAACAAACAGATTCTAAAGTTTATATGGAGAGGCAAAAGGCTCAGAATATCCAAAATATGTTGAACAAGAGCAGAGTTGGAAGCCTGATGCTACCCAACTTCAAGATTTACTATAAAGCTACAGCAATCAAGCCAGTGTGATATTGGTGAAATAATAGACAAATAGATCAGTGGAGTAGAATAGAGAACCCAGAAATAGACCCCACAAATAGAGTTAACTGATCTTTGACAAAGGAGTAAATGCAATACAATTGAGGAAAGACAGTCTCTTCAACAAATGTGCTAGAACAGCTGGAAATCCTCATGCAAAAAAAAATCTAAACACAGATCTTATACCCATCACAAAAATTAACTCAAAATGGATCATAGACCTAAATGTGAAATGCAAAACTATAAAACTGCTAGAAAATAACATGAGAGAAAACCTAAAGGACCTTGGATATGGTGATGACTTTTTTTTTAATGTTTATTTCTTTTTGAGAGAGAGCGAGAGAGAGAGAGCACACACACAGGAGGGACAGAGAAAGCGCATGTGTGTGCGTGCGCACATGAGAGAGAGGCAGGAGGGATCCAAAGCGGACGCTGCACTGACAGCAGAAAGCCAAATGTGGGTCTTGAACCCACAAACTGTGAGATCTTGACCTGAGCCAAAGTCAGATGTTAACCAGCTGAGCCACCTAGGTACCCCAGTGATGACTTTTTAGTACACCAAAGGCATGATCCATGAAAGAAATTATTGATAAGCTGGACTTAACTAAAATTAAGATCTTATGTTCTGCAAAAGACAATGTAAAGATAATGAGAATATAAGCCACAAACTGGGAGAAAATATTTGCAATATACACATCTGGTAAAGGACTATTATCTAAAATATACAAAGAACACTTAAAACACAACAAGAAAACAAACAGCCCAATTTAAAATCGGGTCAAAAACTTTAATAGACAACTCACTAAAGAACATATACAGATGGCAAATAAATATATGAAAAGATGTTCCGTATTATGTAACAGGAAAATACAAATTAAAACAGCAAAGAAATACCACTATACACCTATTAGAATGGCCAGAATCCAGAACACTGACATCACTAAATACTAGTGATGATATAGAGCAACAGAACTCTCATTCACTGCCAGTGGGAATGCAAAATGGTTTGGCCACTTTAGAAGATAGGTTGACAGTTTCTTACAAAAGTAAATATGCTCTTACTATACAATTCAGTGATTGTGCTGCTTGGCATTTCCCCAAAGGAGTTGAAAACTTATGCTCACACAAAAATGTGCACATGAATGTTTATAGCAGTTTTATTCATAATTGTCAAAACTTGGAAACAACTACAATGTTCTTCAGTAGGTGAATGGATAAACTGTGGTACATCCCTATGATGGAATATTATGCAGCATTCTATTATGATAGAAATGAGCTATCAGGCCATGAAAAGACATGGAGGAAACTTAAATGCATACTACTGAGAAAAGCCAATCTGAAAAGGCTGCATGTTGTATGATTCCAACTATGTGACATTATAGAAAAGGCAAAACTATGGAGATGATTCGAATAAGATCAGTAATTGCCAGGGGTTGGGGTGTAGGGAGGGATGATATAAGCAGAGCACAGAGAATTTTCAGGGCAGTGAAAATATTCTGTGTGATACCACAAGGATGTATACATGTTATTATACATTTTTCCAAATCCATAGAATGTACAACACCAAGAGTGAACCCTAATTTAAACTATGACTTTTAGGTGATTATGATGCATCATTGTAACAAATGTACCACTCTGGTGGGGGATGTTGATAATGGGGGAGGCTATCCATGTGTGCGGGTAGAGGGTATAAATGAAATCTCTATACCTTCTCTGTAATTTTGCTGTGAACATAAAACTGCTCTAAAAAATAAAGGCTTCATTAAAAAAAAAAAAAAAAAAAACAAGAGAAAAGGAAGGAACAGAGG